TTTACCACAGGGTTACCACTAGCAAGTTTCTTTGGGCCCATGGCAGCTTATTTCACAGTCCCACAAGCACTAAACACAACAAAATACGTAATCGTAAAATGCGTGAATGAGAGCGCAGGTTAGTGTTCACTCAAGCATAAACAAAGCTAGACTGCTCACGGCGCCGCGGGGATGCGGACAGAGCAGGCGGCAGACAGGTCCCGTACCCGGCGGTCCGAATAGGGACACAGTTTGTCCGAAAAAATGATCCTATTTTCGAAATGTTCGATACGTGATACGTTCGATTTTTGAGGTTCCACTGTATACCAGAAATGTTATAAATGGTGCAAAGATGACATTAAAACAATATCAAAGATGGTTCACACAAACTCACTACCATCATAGTATGCTCCTCGTTTAGTGACAAATTTGTTTAATGACGTGGTCTTAGGAACAGAACTCTCTTGTTAAGTGAGGAGAGGTTGTATTGTAATAATTGTATAAATAATATCAGTACATACATTCGTGAACGCATATTAGACCCACCAGTTGACGTGTATTGGACGTGTAATGTGATTTGTTTACTGTTGAACATTTCTGCTACTTATGAGCTCAATTTCAAGTTATTGTCAGTCCTAAAACTAATCAGATTCATCTCTTTTTCTGTAATATATCTTCCATTCTATCAAGTGAGATCAAGAAACCATGAATACAAGTGAGATCAAGAAACCATGAATACCAAAAACAGTCAGTTTTTTTCTCATTATGCACTGCGTGTTGCAAGATTTTTTTTTATATATGGTACACACTTACCACATAGACCCATTCTCTCATATCTAGACATAAAGTTACCACTCACGGCTTATCTGGGTGAGATGAGCTCATGACGTACTATGGCACAGACCCCAGTTCTAAACCCATAGAACAACAGTACGGACCTTGAAAGGGTTAAAGAAGACATAAATAATACTGAAAGTATCTAACTAAGACAGGTCTCTCAGCAGTGGATTCAAGTGAGATAATATAGATTTGGAAAGGATATAGGAAGTAGTAGGCAGTTGCCCCCGGTTTAACAAAACTTTTATTTCATTCCAAGGTAGTAGCTGTTGTGAGCCTACTGAACCAATTTTAAGCCCTAATGAATATTTGTGATGTAGCTTTAGTTCCATTTCGGCACCACCAAGGTCTATGACGTACAAACGCAATTACTAAGAACCTTCAAATTAGCGATGGAGGTGGAGCCTCATATAAAATTGGGTCTACTGTGCAGTTGGCAGGCAATAATTGCCTCCCAGTGGTATTAAGAAAAAAACTTGTTTTTGGACTTAAATACAACTTTGCAATGTATTATGTGATGGTTTTTGGGTTTTATTAGCTTCCTTGCTGAACCAAAAGGAGCTATTACAGCAAATTTTAAGTTGCATTTGTTGTTTTTTAAGCCCTTAAATGGAGTCTCAGACATAGCAGAGTACGATTTTTACCCAAGGTTATTAGTAACTACAAAATCGTCCAGGAATTCACGTCGCTGTGATCAAATCTTTACGGAGAAAAAGCTTTGTACCTATCATTGAAAATAATGTCTATTTTTGTGTGAGCATATAAAAAAAAAAAAATAAAGAGCCACAGGGACGTACTAGCAAAAAAAAAAACTTTGTTGTTTTTGGATTTAAAATCATTCAAATTGTTGCAATTGCAATTTTACCTTTATGGTATTTAAATTGGTTGAATGGGTTGTTTTTGTGACTCATTTGATAGAATAAAATATTCAGTGAATTATGATTTTTTGATTGAATTCCACAATGGGAAAAGCACCGAAATTGGCAATGCTGATATTATTTGCAAGACCAATTTTTACAAACTAATGCATGTTTTGCATACGTAAATTCTTCTTTTGTTTTGTGAGAAAAAATTTCAAATTTCATAAGCAAAAAGAAAATTTTTTTTAAGATTTTCGCCCCGGGACGTGACCCATCGAACATAAAAGCTGTTAGAGTAGTGCCAGGCTATGACCTACTGGTGTGTTATTCTGGAAAACCCCATTTCAAAATTGGCCTTTCTTCTTTCATATTTAATCCTAGTGAAATTGGCTTTTCCAATTGTCTAAATTTTTTCTTAGTTTGAAATTGTGAAATGGGTTTTTCTTTGCTCTCATTTGCTCCTATAACACTCGCTAGTTTCTACCTTGTGCATTCTATCTTTCTCTCGACCTTGTAAAACTACAGAAATTTTGTCCTAAAAAGGGGCCTTTCCCAAACTTATCGAAATGCCCTTTCACATCTGGCAACACCCTAATATCCATAATATATTGCAAGTTTTGATTACAAGTAGATATTTGTTTGTCATTTTGATAATGTAAAAGTCTCTATATTACCATTAGTAAAAAAAAATTTTTTTTTTTTAAAATTTTTTGGACCTGCAAGTTTAGCACTATTACCTTACTTCGCAACCCTAAGAGGGTTAAGTGGTGTCTGCATAAAAAAATTAGTCCTATGAAGTGCTGAATATCTTTTTGGTGTAGCACCAAAAAACCCAAATTGTGAAACGACTGGATATTTTTTCTCCTTCGACCTCATTTTTAAAAAACCTAGCCGATTTACTCCCACTTTCCCTTTATGTTTCACTAATTCATTGTTTCAGTTTTGCCCCAAATCTGCTTTTTGTAGAACTCCATTTTTTCTCATGCTTCCGTATGAACTTCCCTTACACACTCGCTTAACTTTCTTACCTCAATTGTGCCATTCATCTTCTCTCTCTCATTGACCATTGTAAAAACTTCTCACATGTTAACATTTTCTTCCTAAAACCTATCTTCATCTTATTCTGCAAATATGTCTCCTCTCCCCATCTGCATCCACTACCTTTATCCATTTTAATATATTGTACAAGCTTTGAATGCAGAGGTAGAGGTATGTCTGTTTTATCTATTTTGACCTAATGTTATAAACGTACTACTAAAATATTAATTAGTAGTAACAATAATTTTTTTATTTTAATTTATTTCAGTAATTGGATCTGCAAGTTCTGTCATCTTATTTAACCCTTTGACTGTCGCAACTCCCAATCCTGAGGTGTCTCCTGGTGTCGCAAAATTTAAAAAAAAAAATTATTTTTTCTTATGAAATGATAGAGAATCTTTTCCCGATTGTAATGACACCAAAAAAACGAAATTTGATGGAAAACTGACGGAATTATGCTCTCGCGAAGTTAGCGACCTCGGCACTGTTTACAAATCGGCGATTTCGCCCACTTTGAGCCCTATTTTCAGCTAATTCCATTGTTCCAGTCGCCCAAACTCATAGCTATTTCTTTAGAACTCCATTTTTTCTATCGCTTGAGTACAAGAAACTGCCCATTTACCAATTTCAGCTACCTAATAATGTGGTCAGAAATTTGCAATTTGGCCAATTTCACAAAAACTAAAAAATATGACAATTTCAAAATAAGGTCCAGAATGAACAATGCAGACATTCCTGGCTCTAAAATAACATTTTCTTTGCTCATCAGTCATGTCTCCAGGCCCCTCTGATATTACTCTTGCTTTCTATTTTGAATTTTTATTCAAACAAAAAATAGAAGACTTACTATTATGCAGACTACTGCAATACTGTAATAATTGTATAAATAACATCAACCCATTCATGACTGCATATTAGAATGGCTAGTTGGACATTTATTGGACAATGGCATCATTTGTTTACTTTTGAACATTGGCAAAAATCAAACATTTCCCCTAGTTTGAGCTCCATTTCTAGGTTCTTTTTATAGTAAAATCAATCAAAATCACCTCTATTTCTATAATATGTTTTCCATTCTATCAAATGAGACCAAGAAAACGAGAATACAACCATAAATACTTAACGAAAATAGACCACAAAGTCGGCATTTTAATTAAAAAAAACGGTCGGAGTTTTTTTTTTCTCATTATGCACTGCGTGCTCCAGGATTTTTTTTATATGATGCACACTGACCACACAGACCCATTCTCTCACATGTGGGCCTACCAGCTTTCTCCTGCTTGATTTGAAGCTGCTAGAATTTATGAGTATACATATATACGTCAAACACGGTACCTCGTAAGACGTATATATACGGCAGCGACAGTCAAAGGGTTAATTGATTTATTAGTTCTAATTAAGAAACATATGCTGTGTATATTCACTTTAAAAAAGCACACTGAATATTGTTTAATCATTTCTGTCAAGAAAATAGTTTGATTTATTGCTGCTCCTGCAGCAACATATTTTAAAGGAAGGGGTAGGGTAGTAGTAGCTAGTATACATAACAAACTCGGAGACTAGTTGCCTTGGTAATTCCAGAGGGTAAATAATAACTCATGATAACCCAAGAAAGCCAAGTCATGTTGCCTGCTGTTTTCTTTGGGTCATTTATAGGTCTTTTCCAAGGTTGCCACCCACAGTGGTTGACTAGATGTATATCTTCTGCTGGGTAACAGGGACAGCAAGTGTTAGGAATCTTACCTATACATTCCCCACCTTGCTCAGGGTCCGATCCAGGTAATTTTGGTTGCGAAGTGCTTTACACAGACAATATACAAGTCCTTGCCAAATATACAAGTCCTTGCCAGTAGTAAAGACTATCTCGAAATTTTAAAATACAGTGGACCCCCGGTTAACGAACTTTTTTCATTCCAGTAGTATGTTCAGGTGCCAGTACTGACCGAATTTTTTCCCATAAGGAATATTGTGAAGTAGATTAGTCCATTTCAGGCCCCCAAACATACACGTACAAACGCACTTACATAAATACACTTACATAATTGGTCGCATTTGGAGGTGATCGTTAAGCGGGGGTCCACTGTACTTTACTTACATATACATATTGTAGTTTCACTCGTTTCTCAGTAGTTAACAAAGTAGTTTACTCTTCCTATCTGTATTACCTCATATAATGAGTGTTGTAATTTGGTCCTTGACCTCATTTAGGTAACCCTACTGCACATCTGTATGGTTTACTTTTTTTTTTTTAAGTGCTGTACAATAATAATTTTCTTTCATTTCCAGAGTGAAGTTGACATTGAGAATGGGATGATAATGAAAGCTGACTCTGAGGCATTAAAAGCTCAGTTAAATAAGGAAATGAATGCAGAAGAGGAAAAATCAACTCCAGTGACAACAGGTGAAAATAACAAGCTTACTAGTACGTAAATAAGGCATCATGTGGGCTCAAACCAGAGTAATCTAGGTTGGGGGTGTCTTGGTGCAGCAGTAGAGGTGAGAGGATGCCATCAGGCTAGTTTCCCTGGTTGAAGCCTACTGGAAGCCTTATTTACACATTTTTTATATTCAAGATATTGTGAAATCCCAGTTTTCAAGCTTCTTGTCCATTCATATCCTTTACATTGCACTACAAGTTATGGACTTAAGTGCTATAATTATAGTCACTCTTCCATCAGTAAAGATTATGCACAACACAGTATGTTACATTACTATCTTTCTCATCTGTATTCTTCTCTTCAAGAAGAGTGCCTTAACCCCTTCAGGGTCCAAGGCCCAAATCTGAAGTGGTGCCCCAGTGTCCAAGAATTTAAAAAAAAAATTTTTTTTTATTTTTTTCTTATGAAATGGTAGAGAATCTTTTTGTGAAGGTAATAAAACAAAAAGTACGAAATTTGATGGAAAATTGACGAAATTATGCTCTCGCGAATTTTGATGTGTCAGCGATATTTACGAATCGGCGATTTTGCCGACTTTGACTCCCATTTTAGGCCAATTACATTATTCCAGTCAACCAAATTCTTAGCTATTTCACTAGTATTACTTCTATTCTATCGACTGAGCACAAGAAATCGCCAAGTCAACTGTTTCAACTACAAATTAAAGTGATCGGAAATTGTTAATTTGGCCAATTTAACACGAAGTTCAAAATATTCCAATTTCAAAGTAGGGTCCAGAATAAACAATGTAGGTATTCCTGGAACTACACTAACATTTCCTCTGTTCATTAGTTACGTTTTGAGGCTTTACAAATAAATTCCATTTTTATTTTTTATTCACATAATGAATTTTTATTCACACCAAAAAATAGATTATTTACTGTTATGCAATACTGTAATAATTGTATAAATATCATCACCATATTTGTGAATGCATATTAGACCCGCCAGTATTAGACGTGTGAGGTCGTTTGTTTACTCTTGACTATCGGCAAAAATTTAACATTTCTGCTACTTTGAGCTCAGTTTCAAGCCATTTCCAGTGCTAAAACCAATCAAAATCATCTCTATTTCTGTAATATGTCTTCCATTCTATCAAATGAGACCAAGAAATTGCAAATACAACTATAAAAAACATACGAAAAAACACTGCAAAGTCTCTGTTTTAATCGAAAAATCATGATTTGTTTTTTTCTCTCATTATACACAGTGTGCTGCAGGATCTGTTTTATGTGGTGCACACATACCACATAGATGTATTCTCTCATATCTAGGCCCAAATGTACCACTCACAGTTTATCAGAGTGAGTTGAGCTCATGACGTAGATCTACGGTTTGGACCCTGAAAGGGTTAATGGTGAAGGGCTCTTGATCCAAGAAATAGAAACCTTCCTTATTTTCCTTGGATCACATCCAGTTACCTCTTGATTTCACTGGTGCTGTATGAGCCCTGTGGTCTTAGCTCTTTCCAACAATGATGATGATCAGCAAACCTTCTGCGTCATTGTCTCTATATCTCCCATTTTATTGTCTTGTTTATAATATTTTTCTAGAATTTCTTGGGAATCATGTCTCTGCATAATTTGCTAGCACTTGATATGAGAGCACATTAATTTAAAGGGCAAAACAAGGTCATATGCAACAAGCACTTCATTACAATACAACACTACTAGATATATCAACAGATGGTACTGTACCAGAGGTACTTAATGGACAGTAACTCAAACATCTCTTTTTGTTAAAATTCAGGAGTGAAAAAGCAAGCAAAAATATTTTAATTATATGAATGTGATCCTTACAAAAGTAAAGCAAGTGTTTGGTGGAGCATTAAAAAAGAAACATATACAAGGAATGTTTTGGACAATGAGATATAGATAAGAGAATAAATGTCACAAGGAAGAATAGGACCATATATATATAAAAAAAAATCTGGTTATTTTTCCTGTATGAGAACCACCATCACCAGAGGCAGAGGAATTCATGGAATAGAAAAAGAAGATAGACAACTTCTATGACAGCCTTGAAAATCCTACACCAAATATTATCCTTCTTGAAAATTTCAACCTTCTAGATGTTAAATGGAAGAGGGTACACAACTGCAGTATACCAGACACGGTACCTGGAAGCATGTTATTCCAACAGACAAAAACTAGAGAACTGTTAGGGGTCTTTGAAAAGTTTGCTTTAAATCAACAGCTTACAGAAACTGCAGGAAATAAAAATACGTATACACTAGGCTTGACTTTCTTGAATTTTCAAAAAGTAATCAGAGATAATATCAAATACATTATTCTCTGATCACAATCTCATTGAAGTACAGAAACTCTTAGAAATGGCCACAATAAAATGATATTCAGCTATTTTTATTGCAGCAATCAGAAAACTGATTGAGACAAAATAAAGAGCTGTCATCTAGCTGTATCTTCAGACATCACTGTAAGAGCTCAGAACACAAAACCTGTATAAGGGTAGTAAACAATTCAGTAAAAATCTTATTAGAGATACCATTTTCAGAATTCAGTAAAAATCCATGATCAGGAATTAGTAAGTTTTTTTTTTTTACCCTTTCAGGATCGAGATCCATGATCTCAGATTTGCTCTCAGGGTAGAAGAATTGAAGAAAAAAATTATTTTATCTATGAAGTGATAGAGAATCTTTTCAGAAGGTAGTGAAACCAAAATTATGAAATTTGATGGAAAACTCACAGAATTACGCTCGCAAAGTTTGCAGTCTTGGTGATTTAAGTATCAGCGATTTCGCCCACTTTGCCAATGCCATTGTTCCAGTCGACCAAATTCATACCTGTTGTGCTAGTATTCCTTCTGTTGATTGAGTATAAGGAACTGCCCATTTACTATTTCAACTACCCAGTAAAGTAATCAGAAATTGGCAATTTGGCCAATTTCATACAAAATTCAGCAGTTGCCAATTTGAAAATAGGGTCCAGAATAAACAGTGTAGACATTCTTAGCACTAAAAAATTTCCTGTTCCTTAGTCACATCTCCAGGCCCCTCTTGCATTACGCTTAGTTTCCATTTTGAATTTTTATTTACGCAAAAAATAGAAGATTTACTGTTATGCAGACTACTGCACTATTGTAATAATTGTATAAATAATGTTAGTGCATTCTTAAATGCATATTAAACTGGCCATTTGGAAGTGTATTAAATGAGTGACGTCATTTGTGTACTCTGGAATATTGGCAAAACTCGAACATTTCTGCTAATTTGAGCTCAGTTTCAAGCTATTTTCAATCTTGAAATCAGTCATAATATATCTTCCATTCTATCAAATGAAACCAAGAAGACAACCATAAAACTCATATGAAAATACACTGCAAAGTTGCTGTTTTAAACCAAAAGCTTGTTTGCAGTTTTTTTTCTTACGCATTGTGCACTGCAAGATTTTTTTCTATATAGTGCACACTTACCACAAACCCGTTCTCTCATATCTAGGCCCACATTTACCATTCACAGCTTATCTGCGTGAGCTAAGCTAATGGCATTGTACTACAGGACTGATGCTGGCTTCAAAACCATGATACAATGGGACCGACCCCAAAAGGATTCACACTAGCCATGTTCCACTGATGCAGGGTGACCTGAGAAAGAGAAACAAAAGGTTTTCTTCTTTTTACATTTAGTAATTTATACAGGAAAAGAGATTACTATCCCATTGCTCCTGGCATTTTAGTCCCCTCTTTACGACACACATGGCTTGTGGAGGAAGAATTCTTCACCAATGTAAATTTATTAATTCAAAAAGATTATTTTAAAATTCAGTACTTTGAAAATCAGTTTACAACTCTAACCTTGTTATTAATATTTATAATCATATCTTTGTTAAAAATAAGATAACATAGTCTGTATGGTACACACATAGCTATCAGAAACCCAAACAAGATACTGGGTTATGAGATCAACAAATTGCTCCACTCCACATCCCACATCACCAAAAAAGTGAACCTAGCAAAAGCCTGCCTCAGTCAACTATTCAGATTCAAAGAATCCCCCTCTGCATCAAAAAGCACCTTTATAAGACGATGATTAGACCTTTGCTGGAATACCCTCGTGTACCCATGTCACTAACAATTAAATCCAACATGCTACAGCTTCAAAGAGTCCAGAACAGAGCTCTCTGCTTTATCACTGGCACCAAGCTCAGAATCAGGATGGAAGACCTGCACATCCAACAGGAAATCGTTGCAATAAATGTCAGGCTAGATAAACTAAAAAAAGAGACAACTATAAGACATGCAGGAACTCTATATACCAGACAGAGAAAACCATCCTTACCCCAACCAATGAACACTACTGACTACGTAATCAGCACACACACCCACAGAACCCACAGAATGTCCCTCCAACAAAGAGTCCGACACTTCATTCACAAGGAGAACTTCCTAAGACCAAGGATCCTGAGTGACCTCCCTGAAGAAATGGAGATTGGATACCACCAGAACCATTCTATATCCAACAACAAGGATAAATGCACCTCACTGTTGGGAGACTTAATTCTATCAGATTGCACCTTATAACTAACCTTGTAACATCTGCAAACATCCTACGACAGGACACCACCTCAGAAACTGCTTAGCCAACCAACTCCAGGTTAGCAGTCAATTTCCATCAAAGGCTCTACAATTACCATCTGCATCAGCAGCCTTACGACCGACCTCTTGCGCAAAAAAAAAAAAGAAAAAAAGGTAATTGCAAATAGTATACATCCTTCCAACTCGGCAGCATGCTGGTATACAGCTGGTGTAATTGTGTGCACCTGATGGGCAGGAGGTATACCTGTCTTATGAATTTAACATATTCTTGATAGTGTTGAATGATGATGAAAGTATTTTCTTTTTGGGGATTTTTTTTTTCTTTTTTTGGGTCACCCTACCTCAGTGGGAGATGGCCGACTTGTTGAAAAAAAAAAATATTCATGAATAGCACAACACACACACACACTTGTATAAATTGCACCAAAGTGGTTAGGCCACTTACCTTTATTGCCCCACCTCCCCCTCCACCCTCCCAACCCTTTCCCATATTTCCATCCTTACCCATCCTTCTTCCTTCCCCATCTCACCAAAGCTCTGGTCATACCTCATACCTTGTAGTCTGTATGTACAGTAGTACCTTGGTACTTGAGCAGCTCCCAACTTGAACAATTTGGTATTCGACTGCTTTGTTCGGTAAAAAAAATTGCTTGGTAGTCGACCATTTGCTTGGCACTTGACCAAACAAACAACCTTTTTTTTTTTTTTTTTTTTGGTGTCTTTTTTATATTATTTGTATAAATAAGTCACCATAGGACCTAAGAAGATTAGCAATAACAGCCAACCAAAGAGAAAATTGGTTAAGAGTCACAATAGAGATGAAAAAAGAACTCATAGCAAAATATGAAAGCGATGCCCATGTGTCTGATCTTGCTCCCAAGTTTCGTATGGCGAAATCTATGATCTTTACGATAATAAAAATAAAGAGGGCATTAAAAAGGCTGATGTTGCAGAAAGAATGAAAATGGTTATGAAACAGACCTTCCTCACAATCTTTCACATGTGCCATCAACTCTCCAGTTACAAGTAAAATGAGAATAAATTTCCATTTATTTCATCCATTCATTGTGTTTATTTTTTCTTTTTTTACATTTATGCATGCTAGGCTTGTAAACTTCGTATTAAAATGCTTTTGTAAGTGTATTTTTGGGGGTCTGAGACAGATTAATCTAATTTACATTATTCCTTATGGGAAAAATTTGTTCAGTACTCGAACAGATCAGCACTCAAATAGCCTTCTAGAATGAATCAAGTTCCAGTACTGAGGTACTAATGTACTATGTATCATGTATTTGTAGAAATAATCATCATTATAATCAGTACAATACATCCCTGACTAATGGTCGTTTGAGTTATAAACATTCTCACTCATAATTAGGGAATTTAGATACCAATTAAAAATGATCTGCATAATCAGAAAATGCAGGCTTTAAAAAAAATTTCAACACATTGGCTTTCTCCCATCGAGGCAGGATAACCTAGAAAAGAAAGAAACACTTTCACTATCATTCAACACTTTCACCATCATTCACACATAATCAGTCTTTACAGAGGCGACCAAGTATGACAGTTTAGATGTCACTCCAAACAACCAGTATCCCAAATCCCTCATTTAAAGTGCAGACATTGTACTTCCCACCTCCAGCACTCAAGTCCAGCAAACTAGTTTCCCTCAATCCCTTCACAAAATATTACCCTGTTCACACTCCAACAGCTCATCAGATTCCAAAAACCATTCATCTCCATTCACTCCTATCTGACATGCTCACACATGTCTATTGCATGTTCAAGCCCCTTGCATGCAAAACCTCTTTTATCCCCTCAGTCTATCCTTTCCTTGGATGACCCCTACCCATCCTCCCCTCCACTACAGATTTATATACCCTCCAAGTCATCCTATTTTTCTCCATCCTCTCTAGATGACCAAACCACCTCAGCAACCCCTCTTCAGCCTTCTGAATAATACTTTTAGTAACTCCACACCTCCTCCTAATTTCCACACTACAAATTCTCTTCATAATATTTACACCACACATTGCCCTTAAACACAAAATTTTACAGAAATTATATTCCCATGTTTTTTTTTTTTTTTTTTTCACAATGGGCATTCACATTATGTGTATGTTCAGTTTATGCCTATGTAGAAGCTTCATATTTGTGTGGTAGATTGGTCAAGAATTGTAGATTTATTAATTACAATTTTCATAAAGCTGAGATATAAATGTTATTTTTTCTTGTTAGCATCTTACCAAATTCATTGATATTCTGTATGTATTTATTTTTAGTACGTACTTCAGTGTTTCATACATTGTTTCTTTTTTCAGTGGATTCTACCATTTTATCCAAATCAAAAATCAGTCCTGAAGGTTCTCCCCGAACAAAAAATCCTGTTGCTGTTGTACCATATGATGGTGTTTATCTTCTTGTTGTTCACACAACAGCTCAGTCAAATCCTGCAGAAAATTTGTCTTATGTTGCCTATATTGATATTGAAATGCAGAGTGATTATGGATATCTATCAGCTGTTGGTGAGTTTAAGTAACAGTAATTATATTGGCAGTTTGGAGGGATATGTTGTGTATCTTTATACGTATATGCTTCTAAACTGTTGTATTCTGAGCACCTCTGCAAAAACAGTGATAATGTGTGAGTGTGGTGAAAGTGTTGAATGATGATGAAAGTATTTTCTTTTTGGGGATTTTCTTTCTTTTTTGGGTCACCCTGCCTCGGTGGGAGACGGCCGACTTGTTGAAAAAAAAATATATATATAAAAATGGCATTAAATCTTTAGTTTAAAGGAGGGCTTAAATTTGATGCCCTTTGGGATAATTTTGTATATTTAGTGAGACATTGTTAGTGCATTAGCTAGCATGACTGGAATAAAATATTGTAATATATCTTAATGGTGATACTATTATTTTACCTTGTTTAGACTGGCCACTTCTTGGATTCTATGCTGCAATGTGTGTTGTGTATTTGGTGTATGGTATAGCCTGGCTCATCATGTCTGCCATACGATGGCAGGAGCTGCTGAGGGTTCAGTATTGGATTGGTGCAGTTATCTTCTTAGGTAAGTATAGCAAATCTATTAAGTGTGTCTGCTATTGTAAATTAATGTTTTATTTATCATTATTGCACCACCTGACAGGCCTCATTTTCATAAATGTAACTTTCTAGGTTTTTTATATAATGTGAGGAAATCACAAAAGTGCTTGGAAGTTCACTATTTTTTCACAGTAGTGGTTCTGCATATTGTGGTATCTCCTGTTTATTGTGATCTTATTGCATTGATGTGTGTGTGTGTGTGAGGAAGGGGGATGGGTCAGGTGTTTACATTGAAACATATATGTGAACAGTATTTAGATAAAGGTAAGAAAGTTTGCATTACATTTATGGCTTTAGAAAAGGCGTATGATAGGGTGGATAGGGGAGCAATGTGGCAGATGTTGCAAGTGTTTGTAATAGGTAGTATGTTACTAAATGCTGTGAAGAGTTTTTATGAGGATAGTGAGGCTCAGGTTAGTGTGTGCAGGAGAGAGGGAGATCATTTCCCACTAAAAGTAGGCCTTAGACAGGGATGCGTGATGTCACCATGGTTGTTCAATATATTTATAGATGGGGTTGTAAGAGAAGTGAATGCTTGTGTGTTGGCAAGAGATGCGGGATTAAAAGATAAAGAATCTAACAAAGTGGGAGTTGTCACAGCTGCTTTTTGCTGGTGACACTGTACTTTTGGGAGATTCTGAAGCGATGTTGCAGAGGTTGGTGGATAAGTTTGGAAGGGTATTTTAAAGGAAATTAAAAGTGAACATGGGAAAGAACAAGGTGATGAGGATAACAAAAGAAGTAGGTAATGAAAGAATTGAGTGAGGTATGGAGGAAGTCAATGTATTCATATATTTGGGAGTGGACTTGTCAGCAGATGTGTCTATGAAAGACGAGGTGAATCATAGAATTGATGAGGGGGAAAAAGGTGAGTGGAATCTGTGGAGACAATGTGTTCCAATGCTCTTATATGGGTGTGAAGCATGGGTGATGAATGTTGCAACTCTGAGAATACTGAAGGCAGTGGAGATGTCATATCTGAGGGCAATGTGCTGTGTGAGTATAATGCAGAGAAACCATAGCTTGGAGATTAGGAGGTGCGGAGTTTCTAGAAGTATTATCCAGAGGGCAGAGGAAGGGTTGTTGAGGTGGTTTGAACATTTAGAGAATGGAACAAAATATAATGACTTGGAGGGCATATAAATCTGTAGTAGAAGAAAGGTGGGGTAAGGGTCGTCCTAGGAAAGGTTGGAGGGAGGGGGTAAATAAGGTTTTTGTGTGCAAGAGGCATGGACTTCCAACAAGTGTGTGTGAGCATGTTAAATAGGAGCGAGTGGAGATGAATGGTTTCTATTACTTGACATGCTGTTGGAGCATGAGCAAAGTAACATTTATGAAGGGATTCAGGGAAACTGGTTTGCCTGACTTGATTCCTGGAGGTGGGAAGTATAGTGCCTGCACTCTGAAGGAGGGGTGTTGATTTGTTGCAGTGTAGGCACATCTCTGGCGAGACAGTGATGGAGTGAATGATGATGATGAAAATGTTTCTTCTTTTTTCTGGGTCACCCTGCCTCAGTGGGAAATGGCCGATGTGTTAATTAACCCTTAAACTGTCCAGATGTACATCTGTGTTTTCACTGCCAATTCTCCAAATATTTTGGAATTTTTTTTTAAATTAAAGAGGGCAATTTTCTGTGTATAATAAGACTAAAAATAAAAAAATTAGGGTTAGTACTTAATGAGATATAAGGTCGCGAAGTTGGCACTGGATGCGGAGTCCTGCTGCTTGCAAAAGTGTTGCCGATATACCTTTTTTTTCTCGTTTTTTATTTTAATTTATATAATTTTTATGTTCTGATAATTACAATTTATAGTAGTTCTTGTGATTTATAGCCAATCTTTGTTCTGACACTAATATTAGGTACTGAAATAGTATTCAAATATTCACAAACACACTAACAGGTGAACATTTTTACCTGCCTTGGTCACATACTATTGTCTAGAAATATAAACAAAGTATTTATAGGTCCCAGCAATATTTTAGACATGCTGGAGTATATATGAAACTCCTTGAAGCATGGGGCAAGAAAGAGTGTCACTCCACTGTTGACAGTGCCACAATGGAGTGACACTTGATGATTGTGCGCTGCCTTGGCTTTATTTGTTTTCACAGTTACACATAAACATATCTCTGTCTGCTTATCTGTCTGTCTGCCTGTGTGTGTCTGTCTTTCTGTCTCTGTCTCAAAAGCTGCTCATGAACCAACAGGTGTTATACACGATGCAGAGTTGTCATGTTTGATTCCTGATCAAGTGAAAATGCATATTACTTGCCAGTCATGCTTATTATGCCTTTTACTTACAAGCATGGTATAGCATTTTGTCTTGATTTTTTTGGGTTATCCTAGGTGATTTACACTGTATGATAACTGTACATACTTATGTGTATCTGTGAGATGGAGACACAGATACAGAGAGACAACCAAAGTCAATCAGCCTGCCAGCCAAACATGTATTACAAATGTTCCAGAATTGTTTCTCTTTACTTAGGGAATAGGTTATAGGACATTCTGGCAGGATGACACTACCAGTGTATCAAAATTGAAAGGATGTTACACAAATGTTGCACATGGGTTATTATTGAGGTTTTTGATATTCCCTCGACCACTTGTGGCCACATCCATCTCAAAGGCATTAAACTAAACTCAGGGTCAACATCACTTTCCTCTTAAAAGGGAGTGTTAATATGAAATGACATCAGTGAATCCTTGGTGTTTCCCACTCTGTTTGCTCTAGCTGGCGCTCAAGTGAACTGGTGCTCCCACAAGGTACTAAATGGTCCCAGATTTTTTTTTAGTACTGCGCACACCGAGTGTTAAGACCCATCTATACTGACCAGGCATCTCAGTCCAATCGTGCCAAATTTGGAGGCAGGAAAAATAAAACATTGATCTACGTTTGAAGCGCTAGCGGTGAAAACGTAGATCTACGTTTGGACACTTTAAGAGTTAAAAAAATGTTACATCAGAAATGTAACTTAATGAGGTGCTATCAAAGAGTTTCTGGACTTGAATTTTTGCTTGTTTCCTGGGTGAAATTAGTGGCAGCATAGATCATGATGTGCAGTATACTCTTTTGTGAAGTAGTGTGGTAAGTTACAGCATGGCCGGTCATTCCAATGAGATTAGACAAGCATTTTAGTCATGTTATCAGTGTGTTGTGTTTTTTTGTGTGATAGAATGAAATCTTTGGAAGAACAGCATGTGTGTGAAATTCTGTTTCAAGCTCAGTAGAACGGCTAGCAAAACTCAGTGCTTCAGCAAGCATTGGTGACAAACCTCAACACATTACAGAGAGCATAAGATATATGAAAGTAAATTAAAGATACCCCTACGAACCTATTTAAGTTATTTTTCAGTGTTTGTCCTCACAAAAGAATTAACTTTAATTCCATGGCAAGTTTCATAAGTCAGTTATGTCTCGACTTTCAGAATGTTGGAGAAAGCAGTGTTCACAGCTGAGTAAACAGAAGTCTTAACACACAAGGATGCAGCGTGTCTGGCAGATTATCTTTGCGATCTTGTATCTGTGCTAACGGACACTTGCACGGATGCTAGTCCATATAGTTTCACTTGGTTTGGTATTGTCAAGTAAGTCCAGGGTGATTTAGTTTAATCTGAACGAGATTTTATTTTCATTTTTTGTAATACTCGGAAAATGTTTAATAGTTTTCAATTCCACTTTATTCGTATTAACCCCTTTGCTGTCTTTGCCTTAGTTATTACAGTTTGAGGGTTCCTGGTAACTTCAACTATTGTGCATTCAGAGATTGTCAAGGCTCCTGTAGTACTATGTCCATTAGCTCAGCTCACATATATAAGCTGTGAGAAGTAAATTTTGTGGGCTAGATATGAGAGAGAATAGGCCCTATGCATAAAATACTGTACCATATAAAAAAAAATCTTGCTGCAACCTCAGTGCATAATGAGAAAGAAACTGCAACGTGTTTTTGGTTTAAAACTGTGCTTATGCTGTGTATTTTCGTATGGTCATTATGATTGTATCCTCAGTTTCTTGATCACATCTGATTAGAATGTGGAGAAATATTACAGAAAATAGAGAAATTTGCTGGTTTCAGGAATGAAAGATTTGAAATTGAGCCTCAAGTAGCAGCAATGTTCGAGGGTAACAAAACCAATTTAAATAAAGACAAATTGGATTATCACATTGGAGAGAGGGAGTATAAAATAAGTGAATTTTTTTCAAATATTTGGGATTTGACGTGTCATCATATGGTTTATGATGATTATGTTTAACCAATAATTAATGAGAAAAAAGTGAATGGTAATGTGATGGTATTTTGTGGAGACAACGAACGTTATCCATGGAGGCAAGAAGGTAATGATAATGGAAAGTATAGAGTGTACCATCCTCTTATATGGGTGTGGTAAAGTGATTGTGGTTGCAAATGGCTGCAACAAGGGATGCAGCTGAGGCAGTGTAGATGTCCTGTCTAAGGAATTAAACTGATTGAACCTTTAACTCTTAATTGCAGCCTATGCAAACACTTACTGACAACAAAAGAATGCTTTACTTCAAAAAAAGAAGTTAAAAGTTTGCCTAAGGGTGAATTTGTAATGAAATATGAAGAATAATAAAGGCATAAAATACAAAAACAGAGAAAGTTTTAACAATACAATATACAGAAACACAACACATCAATATCTGCTCAATACCTATGATAATTTTTCTTGCAATAAGTCTTGTGTTGACAACAAATTGTGAAATAATTCTCTTGCTTCAAACAAAAATAATGGCACATTGACCTGTAGAGATAGAACAAATTAGACGACTGGCTAAAGAACAAGAAATTATCGACAAAAGAATGATCAACACACAGTAAAATGGGAACTTAATTAATATAAAATCAGCAAGATACAAAACGGAAATGCTGGGAAAAAGAAACATAAGGCACAACACCTTGGGTTGTGTTGCAAGAACACTGAAATACTTCACTGCATGAATTACTGGGGGCAAGGAAACACATTACTGTGTGAACACAAGATAATTTTTATGGACGTGAAACACTAGTTGTTACTGGCATTATAATGCACACATGGAAAACAGTAAAAGTCCATACTTCAAGTAATATATAAAAATAAGGAACACAACACAACAGACATAAAAATAAACCATGAAAATATAAACACTGAAGAAAAAAAATATTGCAAAAAAAAAACCCAGAAAAAACAACAATGTAATGAGGGCCACTGAGTCTATCAAGTTCACTGAATTGTCACTACTAAATCACTGAAAAAGGAATGTCACTAAGAAATTAACTGAGAACATAAAAAGTCTCAACATCTCACAGATGTCTCAGTAAAAGATTATTATCACTGGAGCGATGTCAGTGGAGAATGAGTGTGGTGGTGGTGGTAAGGTTGTCGAGTCTCTTGTGCTGGCGGCAATCTCCTACTCGGCAGTTTCTCGAAGAATTTGCCTTGAAACTCGAGAAACCCCAACATAGCAAGTCTTTTTTTTTCATTGGCACACAGGTAATGCGGGAACAACTTGGGTCTTGACCCGCTATGTGAGACTGTAAAAATAAGGTGCTAGACCCCAATATACGGGTGAACAAACAATGGTGGTGGGTAGGTGTGGGTGACAGGCCGCGCTGGGACACTGCCTGAGTGACTATGTTGACTGTATAAGCAGCGTAAACCCACACACACTGAGTACCACCCACACCAGGCACTAGTTATTTTCCGTAAGCCAGGCTGGCATAAAACACACCACAAGTGATGGTATAAGCACACGTGATGAACTTGAACTGGGAGGACAAAGCGATGGTGAAGGTCGTAAACTCATGTGGCTTGCTTGATACAGTGTTTAGTCACCTGGGTTAGTGGTGGTTAGAAACACTTCACACCAGGCTGGCTTGAGAACTTGTAAGCAGTGAGTCACAGCAGGGTGGAAAGGCTGACTTAAGCAGGCAAGGTCTAGTACTAAGACATCTGGAAATTTGTGTAGGGCTTGTCTCCTCCCCACACACTAGCTTGGCAGCTTTGCTTAAACCCTTTTCAGGGTTTCGTCTTTTACTATTAACTGCTTACGCACCAGGGTTTTTGAGTACTGGACACCAAATTCTAGTGCCGGTCAAATCAGTTAGAGTAAAGCTGGTATCCTACATATGAAATGATGGGTCCTGTGTGGCCAGCTGGTGCGTGGTATAAAAAAAAACCTGCAGCACACAGTTGCGTAAAGATAAAAAAAAAAAACCTTTGCCGTGATTTTGGAATAAAACAGCGACTTTTTGCACTGTATTTTCGTAGTGGTATTTTATGGTTTATTCAAGTTTTTCCTGGTCTCATTTTTATAGAATGGAAGACATATTACAGAATTGAGATATTTTGACTGTTTTACAAAGAAAAGTACCTTGAAATTGAGCTCGCAGTAGCAGAAATGTCTATTTTTTACCGAAGTTCAAAGTAAATACAAATCATGGCTTATGCGTCGCGCATACACGTAAACTGTGAGTCAATATTCTTTCACAATGGCGCTGATAAAATTTTATACCATTTCTACACTAATGCAGTAGTCTGCATAACAGTAAATCTTCTATTTTTTTGTTATAATAAAAATTCAAAATGGAAAGCTAAAAAGAAAGTAAGAGGGACGTGGCTAACGAACAAGGAAATTTTTATTTTAGTGCCAGAATGTCTTTCTTGTTTTTTTCCTGGAATCAAATTCGGAAATTGGCATCTTTAAAATTTGTGTGAAATTGGCAAAATTGCTAAATTCCAGACCACTGTATTGGATATTGAAATTGGTAAATGGGTGTTTTCTTGTACGCATTTGATAGAAAAAATGGAGTACTAGCGAAATATTTATGATTTTTTTGTCGACAGTACACTGGGAATTGGCCGAAAAATAGGACTACAAGTGGCAAAATTCGCCAATGCGTAGACATCGTCGAGACCGCTAATTTTCGCGAGATGCAAAATTCGCCGTAAGTTGTCCCCATCAAATTTTATACTTTTGGGTCATTATGATCTGGAAAAGATTCTCTGTCTTTTCATAAGAAAAAATTTTTTGTTTTTTTAATTTGGCCCGACCCTGATAATAAGTCTCTGATAGGTCCTGTTGACCCCCTGGAAAGGGTTTAATTGCAAACCCAGGTCAACGTCGTGAAGTAATGCAATGTTTTTTTTTTTTTCTCACACCAAGTCGGCCGACTCCCACAAATGGTCATGTGACCCAATGAGAAAAAAATCCCCAAAAAGAAAATTACTTTCATCATCATTCAAACAACTTTCACCTCACTCACACATAATCACTGTTTATGCAGCAGGTTGCCCAGAATACAACAGTTTAGAAGAATATACGAATAAAAATACACAATATATCTCTTCCCAAACTGCCAATATCCCAAACCCCTCCTTTAGAGTGGAGGCAATGTACTACCCATTTACCCCCAGACCTCAATCCTGTTATAAAAAATAACCGTTTCCCTGAATCCCTACACAAAATATTAACCTCCCACACTCCAACAGATCGTACAGGTCCCAAATACCATTTGCCTCCATTCCACTCCTATCTAACACCTCACTGCACGCTGCCTGGAAGTCCAAACCCCTCGCCCAACAACACGTTCCTTTACCCCCTCCCTCCAAACCTTTTCAAGGACGACCCCTAACCACCCCCGCCTTTTCCTTCCCCTAACAATTTATAACCTCTACCATGTCATTCTACTTTGAATCCCATCCTCTCTAGATTGACCAAACCACCTCACCAAACCCACTTTATGCCCTCGACTAATACTTTTATTAACCTCCACACCTTCTCCTGATTCCACCCACTCCCCTCTGAATTTTCTGCATAATATTTACACAACACAATGCCCTTATACAGACATCTCCACTGCCACCAACCGCCTCCCCTCGCTGCAGCAGCATTTACAAAACTCCAAGCTTCATACACCCATAAAAGAGTGTTGGTGTACTCTAATACTTCATACATTCCCCTTCTTTGCCTCCATAGATAACCTTTTTGCCCTCCAACATATGACCTCAATGCACCACTCACCTTTTTCCTTCATCAATTCTATGATAAACTTCATCGCTCATAAATCCATCCCTGACACTTCAACTCCCAAATATCTGAAACATTCACTTCTTTCATACTACTCCTCCCCATTAGATATCCAATTTTTCTTTATGTAAATCATTTGATACTCCTCTCACCTACTCTTTTCTTTCTATGTTCACTTTCATCTTTCCTACCTTAAACACATAACCAAATTCGTCCACTAACCTATCAGATTTCTCTTTAGTAATCATCTCAAAGCACAGTAAATCATCAGCAAAAAATAACTGTGTCACTTCCCATTTTGTATTTAATTCCCCATAATTTAAATCCACAACCCCTATCCCCGAACACCCTAGCATTTACTTCTTTTTTACACCCCATCATAATAATAAAACAACCTTGGTGACATTTCACATACTGTCTAAGACCTACTTTTAAGCCGGGAAGTAGGTCTCCCTCTCTACTTCTGCACACCTAAACCTGAGCCTCACTATCCTCATAAAAACTCTTTACGCATTAGTAACTTACCACCTATCCATACACTTGCAACATCTGCCACATTGCTTCCCCACTATCCCCTCTATAATATGCCTTGTCCTAAATCCATAAATGCAATAAAACTTCCCTACCTTTATCTAAATACTGCTCCATATATGCTTCAATTTAAACACTATGATCTACACATGCCCCTACCCACTCTGAAACCTTCTTCTCAATCCCCGCAATTTCACATTCTGTCTTACCTCTAATTCTTTCAATAATACCCCTAACCGTACTCTTTCCTGGTATACTCAGTAAACTTATTCCTCTATAATTTATTACAATCCTCTTTGTCCCCCCCTCCCTTTAGTATAAAGGGACTATACAACGCTCTCCACCAATCCCCTAGTTACCATTCCCCTCTTTTTCATCATTTAATAAACAAAAATACCAACTAACTCCTACACGAAGGTTGTCCCCGCCTGCATTTAACATTTCTGTAAAGATCCCTTCGGTTCCAGCGCTTTAACCCCCTTTCATTCTACGTAATGCCTCAAACGCACTCCCCCACGCTCACATCCTTCTCTTCTTCACGTCCTAAA